TTTCATACTCTCTTTGAGATTAGAGGCCTCATTTAAGAGTTTGAATAGGGGCTTTATTATACGCCACTCTATGACAGAATTATTACCAGGAGCACAAAAGAAGAATTATTACCAGGGCTAATGTTTGGATTAGGAAGTGTCAGATGAAGTGCTGAAGTTGGCGGTACCTGTACACTGCAAGCTGGTCTTCAGGTAAACGAGACCTTACACAGAGTCATAGCGGTTACACCTGAAAGACAGGCTCTCTGCTATCTAGGGGTGCTTTCCACAGTGAGTTTCTTTTCAATCGTGGGTTAAAGAGGCCTTTTCTTACGCATCTGACCTGGTTATTGTATCTTTATTGAGTAGGGGATACAGAGGAACTCTATCTTCAATTAAAAAAAAATCATGGAAACTTTTCATTGTTGTGATCTTCTCTTAGACTGTAGTGTCTACTACAGCTCAATAGATAGAGTTTCTTTATCCTTTGTTAAAAATGTTTGACAGGAGACGGGGAAAAACACTTTAAAAGTCCTTTTCTCCACAAATGACTGATACTTGCCCATCCCCTTTAGTCCTAGCATTTTATATCTTCCAATGTGACTGGTATAGTTCGCCCAAAGTGGTTAGTATTCCTATAAAAACATTAAACTTAGGATAGCTTCTGTATGATAGACTAAAACCATGAAGTTTAATTTAAAAATTAATCTTTTCCTCCATGAATAAGAAATAACTTCTGCTCTAAAAATGACTGTCATGTAAGGAATCAAATAGAGAGAAGTGATTAGTATTATATGATAATATATAGGAAATCGCTATGCAGCAGCCAAGTAAAATGCGTCAAACTTTGTTATTTTTAATGGCTTTATTGAGATATAATTTGCAAACCATAAATTAACATAGTATTATGAGTTTTACTCTTGCTTGTCTAGATTGCTTATTTTCAAAGGGTATTATCAAGTTTTCCTTTACACTTTCTTCAAACAGAAGTTATCAATAGTATATACTGCCATTTGGTAATACATTTGTATAATGCTTTGCAAATTAACTCTTTGATCACATATATTCTATTTCATTCTCACAACTATCCGAGTGAGGACTGTTATACTTTATTGAATGTGTGGACTAAGATCAGAGGTTTAGTGATTTGCCTAAGGTAACACTGTAAATGGCAGGCTCAGAACTTATTCCTCCAGCTCATTTAACTAAACTAAAAGGACAACCTGGTGTAGTATTCGTTATATTAAAGGCTAGATGCCCAGTGCATGAAATTTGTGCATGGGGAGGGGAGAGGGAAGATCCCTCAGCCCAGACTGTGCCCTCTCACAGTCCAGGAGCCCTCAGGGATGTCCAACTGATGGCTTAGGCCCACTCTCCAGCAGTCAGACATCTTTAGCGCTGCAGCGGAAGCAGGAGAGGCTCCCACCACTGCTGCTGCTGTGCTTGCCAGCTGGGAAACTGGCTACTGGGAGTGCACTGACCACCAGGGGGCAGCTCCTGCATTGAGCGTCTGCTCTCTGGAGGTCAGTGTACATCACAGCAACCAGTTGTTCCACTACCCGGTTAATTTGCATATTAGCCTTTTATTATATAGGATAACTAAGAAAATGGACATGTCACGTTACATCCATCTCATTTGTTTAGGAGACTCCCTTCAGATACTTTCATGTTTTCTCAGGAAAATTTCCTTTCTTCTTTGGACCATGGCCACTACCTCTGATTAATACCTCAAGCATGACTGTAAGGTTCTAATAGCTTACTTATGCTTTTACTATTAGTGTTTCAGTGATTACCCTCTTTTTAAAAAAACAACAAACCACACTAATTAACTGGTTCTTTATTGTTTTAAGGATATAGTACACATCTCTAGGTTCATTTCTAACCACAATCTAACATCTCAGGCTTATGTCTTCTTATCTTACATGAATTCTCTCTTGCACTGATTCTATTCAGTGTCTAAATGCTTTCCTGCACCTACTCTTTTATCCCATAGACTGGTGTGGGACACTCTTTCAATTTATCTTTCCTTATCTCAAATCTTTCTTTATTTCCTCTTTGCTCCATGCAGTCTTTCTTGACTTATGATAGCTGAAAAGCTCTCAATTGCTGATTTTTTATTTAGAATTTATTGTCTCTATGTAACTCATTGGCACTGCCTTATGGCATGGCATTATTATTATTATTTTTTAAGAAATAAATTTTATTGATTTTGTAGAGAGAGAGAAAAGCAGAAGGATAGAGAGATAGAAACATCAATGAGAGAGATGGATGCCTCCTGCATGTCCCTACTGGGGATGGAGCCTGCAACTGGGGCATGTGCCCTGACCAGGAATTGAACTGGTGGTCTCTTGGTTCCTGGGTTGACATTCAATCGCTGAGCCATGCAGGCTGGGCTGGCATGGCATTATTGATCATCTATATTTTTGCTTATGTCTCAGATCTTTTTCAGGGCATGCTTTCTGTGTGTTTGTTGTTGTTGTGGTGTGCTTATTGGCTAGCTCAGTGCCACCCCACATATTTGTAGATTCCTGTTTCTTTAAAAAGAAGGAGGAGACCAGTTGACACCCTCTTCACTGCTGCAGGCAGCAACTACTCAACCACATTAATCTTCCTTAGGCTTTTCCACCACTCGGAGAGCTGTGTTGGAAGCTTGGGGGAGTTGAAGTACGGAGTAAGCGGTTACACTGAGAGAAGGGAAAGGGAAAGGACACGCTCCAAACGCCCCTTCTATCCTCCTTTTTGCAATTTTTGTGTCACAGGGATTTTGAAGTGGCCACATTTGAAAACAGCCTACTTCCACAATACAGTGGAATTCATAGTTCACTCTGAGTAGGAGAAATGTCCTGGCTTTTGTGTCTTAGGGCCAAGGTTGGTGGTTCATGGCTTTAACACCTTCCCACTTACAAAATCTAGTTATCCTTCAACTAGGGGTCCAGTGCATGAATTCGTGCACCTTGAAAGATACTGTGGGCTGTGAGGCTGCGGTGGGCACAGGGGCAGGTTGTGGCCCATCCTCCACGCCCCTGCCAGCAGTCCCACTCCCACCACTGCTGCCCCCACTCGCACCTGCTGATGGTGCGGAGCGACTGGGATGGGCACCAGCAGCGGGTGAGAGTGGTAGCTGTTTCCCCTGATCGCCCCTCAGGAGCAGGGGGAGGTGGAGAAGCCCTCGGGGACTATTGGGCCAGCAGCCACAGCTCATACCCGCTATCGGCACGGAGCGCGAGTAGGGCTCTGGCAATAGGTACAAGCACTGGGTGGGACCATGGTGGGGGAGCAAAGAATTTTCAGTAAACACCAGAGGTTCGCCCTGATGACAGCAATTGGCGCCATGCCTTGGTCTGGCAACCCTGCTCATCTGCTCCACCATCCTGCTATGGCCGCCACCACCATGTTCCATGATCTGCTGCCTGCTGCTGACACCCACCATGTTCCGTTTGTGCCCCTTGGTGGTCAGCGCACATCATAGTGACCGGTTGTTTGGTCTATTTGCATATTAGAGTTTTATATAGATAGTTACCCACATCCTCTAACTTAGGAGGCGGCTCATGGGAAGGCGCTGGTTCTTACATAGCATTTTCTTCAAACCTGGCAGACCTGCAGTTTAACAGAACAAACCCCATCTGAATGGAATTGGAAAACTGAAGTGGGAAATAAATTTGGGCTTGAATCGGCTATGGTAACCCTCAGCAATTGGTGCAGAAGAAAACTCTCAGGATGGGCGGAAGAGATTGTCTCTATTCCAACGCCATTGCCCTTTCCCACAGATGCAAACGCTTGTGGGCAGGCCACCTTTGTCAGCAGGAAACGCTGAGCGCTGGCAGGGGGTCGCAGCAGGTGCGGCTGCCTCTGCTCAGCAGGAGAACCGCAGGTGCCAAGGACGCGGGTAGCGGCCTCTCTGCGGTCCCCTCTGGGCGCGAGGAATCCTGGGACTTGTGGCCTGGCTGCGCGAACTCCAAGGGTTGAGCTGGCGTTCAGGGGACTACACTTCCCAGAATGCATCGGGGAAGAGGGCACCCTGATCCTGGAGCGGCAGGGACCGGCCCCGGAGCCCCGGTGCATCACCGAGGTTTCCAAGTGCAGCGATCCAGCCTAGTAACCCGCCGCCAGGGTTCCCGAAGGCGGCCCCGGGGCCCCGCCTCCTGAGCCCGGGTTAGATGAGGAGCCCGTCTCCACTGCGTCCAGTGACGAAGCCCAACCTCGGGTGCGGGAGGCGGGGAGGAGGGGAGCAGGGCAGGCAGAGGATTCCGCTCGCCCGTGGCGGCCCCCCGGCTCGGAGCAGAGGTTAGAGGCGGAGAGAGGCGGGGATGCTCTGAGGGAGAGGCTGGACCGGGTGTGGGAGCCCCGCACGCCACGGGGCGGCGGTGCTGGGGGCCGGGGTGTCCCCGGGGTCTGGCATCCCCGGGACCCGCGGCGGCCGATGCCCGCGCGCGCGTGTGTATGCGCGTGCGTGTGTGTGCGTGTAGGGGGCCCGGTCCCCCGGGCTTTCGCGGGGTCCCCGCCCCACGGGGGGCCGGAGGCACGACCCTGAGCCCTCGGGATCCCGTGCCCAGCGAGCGCAGACCTCCCTGGGGAGAGGCACACATCCCATTTTTGCCACTTGTTAATGATTCAGGTTTTCGTGGGTGAAGCGCTCCTGCCAACAGCTGCACTCGTTTCCTCCGATTCAGAAACATCTTTTATGGCGCTTGCAGGTGGAGTTGGCGGTTCGTAAGAACCGCTAAGTTCTGTAGGGTGTTCCCGGCCAAGGGAGGGTTCACGGAGGGTATGAATGTTAAGCACATACATAACAACTAATGTTGTTGCGTATCCACCCTGGCTTCCTGGAGGGAAAAAAGCAAATGTTCTTTCAAATCCTATCAAAAATGATCATTGCATATTCACCCTGGCTTCCTGGGAAAACAGCAAATGTTCTTTCAAATCCAGCCAGCCAGCATCATATTATTAAGGAGATGAGTCTGGAGGATGAAAGGAGTAGTTGACAATTAACAATAACAGTAATAATAATAATAATAATAATAAAACTTATAGTTTGTGGATAATTTTCTTGGACTGGGTGACTTACGCAATATATATATATATACCTTTCTCCCTCGCTCTTGCATTTTGGATATAGACAGTCCATCGGTGTCGGACCCGAGGATGGCGGTGGCACAGCCTAGCCGGGCTCCCTGTCAAATCACAGCTGTCACGGAATAGACCCCGCGCCGCCTGCCGGGCGGCCCCCGCGCACCGCAAACTTCAGGGCGAGAGGGAACTGGGTAAATCAGCGCTCCATGATGCGGGCCCCCGCTTTACAAGGCGGGGCGGCCCCCCCAGGCGCCTCTCCCGCGGGCCGGCGCCTGCAGGTGCAGTGAGGCGTGCGCGCGCGGGGCCGGCGCCTCGGCGGACGGAGGACGCCTCTCCCTCGGCGGGCGGAGCGGAGCCGGGCGCCCGGCGGGTCTGGGGCCGCGCACCGGCGGCGGCGGCGGCTCGTCTCCGGCGGCTTCGGCGGCGGATGATGGTGGCGCCCGGCGCGCGGGGCGGTGTGTGCGCGTCGCCGCGGGAAGCGGCGCCCGGCGCGGAGCACTGAGCCCCGGCCGGTCCCCCGCGGCCCGGACGTCGGCGAGGACACAGCCGGCGCGCGGGGGGCGCGCGGGGCCGGCGGATCATGGCGGAGCGGACGGCTCCCCGCGGCCAGCTGCGGCTGGAGTGGGTGTACGGGTACCGGGGCCACCAGTGCCGCAACAACCTGTACTACACGGCCGGCAAGGAGGTGGTCTACTTCGTGGCCGGCGTCGGCGTGGTCTACAACACCCGCGAGCACAGCCAGAGGTTCTTCCTGGGGCACAACGACGACATCATCAGGTCAGGAGGTGGGGGGGGGGGGGCTCCCGGGTGCGGGGGGCGGGAAGGAGGTGCGGGGGGAGGCTGGAGGGGTGAGGAGGGGGAGGATGATCCCCCGGGCTTTCCTGGGGTCACCCCCCTCCCCCCATTCCCCCGGGCGCCCAGGATGTTCTCCGGAGCCGCATGGAGTAGCCGAAGGGCTGCTGGCTCCGGAGCCAGGGCAGCAAGAGGGCTGGGGTGCAGAGTGGGAGGGAGAGTTCCCTGTCCTCCTCGGAGGGCTTTGCATCTCCAGGGAGTTTAGTGTCTGGATGCTTTTTATTTTTTTGTGGTTCGTTCTTGCTACAAGTGGAAGGGTAACTGTCAAACCCGTCTCCTCCCCTCGCTAACTAGGTAAATGTAGGTAAACGACCTGAGCTGTGGGTATCATCTTGGGGAGGTGTCTCAGTAGGTTCCTCAGCAAGCCAGAGGACTTAAAAAAAAAAAAATCTAAAAGAAAATTTTGCTACAGGTAATTTGGGATCTTCATCCCAGATGCTTTGAAACTGGGGACATGTCTTCTGCAGTGGGTGGGGAGTTTGTTCTCTTGAGGTTTCACGTGGCAGCATGTTAGTGCCTAAAAGCTCATGTATACGCCCAAGGGATGCTTTGCTGAGGTTGTCACAGGCCGGCAGCTGCTGGACCACAGCATCCTCCCAGGCAGCCCACAGGATGACCAACATCTGGTATGGCCAGGACTGAGGACAAGAGCACGCCGGGATGCACAGGACCCGTTTTAGGGGTTCTCCCTAGGAATTGGCAGAGGGACATAGTTTGGTCACTAGCCCTGTCCTTCTTGGGAGCAGCCACAATCCCTCCAGTCCTTGTCGGCTTCGTGCCTGCCTAGAGGTGTGGTCCAGATGCTGCTTGCTCACAGGGAATCCCTTCCAGCCACGGGCGGTTAGGGAAGGTACCGGTGATGTGAAATGACTTGCCGAGGATGGACTTACAACTGACAGACCATACTTGAACCTCCAAGCATGTGTGTGCTCACTGATGCGGAACCACTTCCATCCCATTTCCAGAATGTTTCCACTTGTGCTCCACGTTTGCCTTTCCTAAGGAAGTAAACCGTGAAGTGGTGTAAGGTGAACGGTCTTACTATCTCCCCGGGAGAAATGATTTTAAAGACTAGCTCCCCTCCCTGCCTTGAGTATTGTGCTTGTTCTGGAGCCCTTCCCTCCATCTTCTCCTCCCCCCACCCTACCTGAGACCTAAATTTGAAAAAATGCAGTCAAAACTTAATATTTGAAGATATAGAAAGATATAGTTGTTGTTGTTGTTGTTTTTAAATCCTGACTTTTAAAAAAATGCAGATTTTAAGTACAAGGAGCTCTGTTGTTCTCAGGATTTGGTGGAACTAACGTAAAACTTCCTTCATGTCACATAATGACAAAATAGCTTTTCCTCTCTCCCGGAAGTGGCAATAGCTGTGATTGGGGCAACCCTACTAGTTCTGTCCCAGGGATTTTCCTTTTCTAATTGCCAGGCTGATTGTTAAAGGCACAGGTGCAAGCGATTAGCAGTGACTCGTGAAAAGGTCAGATGTTTAAACATTTAAACCCATTATGTTTTTGCTCTTCATGCAGTGCTTTCCATCACACCATCAAAATAAGATGCAGTCCTTGGGGGGGGGGGGGAGGAGAGAGGGAGGGGAGAGAGTGGCCATGAAACAGAGAATTCCCTGGGGTTAAATCGTGTTTATGTGACAGTTCACTTAACTACTTTGAGGATTTGAACTCCTAACCTAATTTTTCTATAAAGGAAAAAAAAAAAAAATGAAACGCACCATTGAGACTGAAGGTGGGAAAAGGGTGGAGTTGCAGTACGTTGCTGCTGTGACTGGCAGCTGGACTAGTGGGGATGTGATGCTATCTGGCATAAAGAAACACTCAGATTTGAAGAAAAGATGAATGAAATTTTTTGTATGACTGGATTTGCAGGGAGCCCCACTTGATGAAGGGGGGGAAAAATCAACTTAACGTCTGGTCTATTTATTAAGGTTGTTATATATTTACACGGAATAGTGACATAGTAGTGCGCATGCCTTCGGAGAAAGGACTTGATTGCTAAATGTTCCATATTTGGTTGGTCTGAGCGTGCATAGGGTGAGCAGGATGCTTTAGTGTGCATGTATGTCTTTGTACATAGGAATACAGTGAACTCCAACAGGTTAAAAAACACAAACCACAGATCATTATGCAAGCAATAACTGCAAAATTAGAATGTTTATGCTTTTTAAGATTTCACTTTATCTTATACATGTAAATCTTCCTTCTTTGTTTTTATGCTTAGAATGTGAGACTCTAGTGCCATTTTTTTTTATCCTTTTCATCTCAGAAACATATTAGATGTTTGAAATCAATATTGTAAAATGTTGGGAATATTTATGTATTAACTGTGTGTGTGTGTGTGTGTGTGTGTGTGTGGCTAGGACAATTGTACTCTTATCTTTATGAATTTCAACTGTATATCCTAGCTACACTACTGAATTTCCACTTAAAATATTGGAATTTGTCATTGAAAGAGAAGGACTATAACCAAGGTTTTAGTGCAAGTGTATTTTTTGGGGGGGGTGGGTGGGTGGGTGGGGGAGGAATACTAAAACTTCTAAGTCTTGAGTTCATTAAATGAGATAATGGAAGTAATTGTCCAGTTAGCATTTGTATTAGTTTGAAAGATATATTCACGGTGCATACAGTTCCTACTGCTTTCTTTATTGTGCTACTTTCCCTAGAATATTGACTAGAAAGCAGCCCCCCTCCTCCAAATAGATACCTGGGGGATTTTATAAAACCGTGTGGCCTCTGAGATCAGGATGAACCATGATAATGATAGGATTTGGCAGAGCTCAGCATGTGTCCTCCTGACTTAGCAGACTACGTGTTTAAGTCAGATTTTTAGCAAGCTGTAGATATGTGAAGTGTGATGTGATCTATTGGATGTGATTTATTGTGTGTGGAGGCTTAGTTTTATTCTCTTGAATGATTATTTTCAATGCAGATAACAGATTAGAGGATGATGCCATATTTAGCCCTGGTAATATTGTTTGCTGTTGGTGAATAATAGGACTCAGATCAGGGCTTGAAGGCAAGGACAGTCAGAGCCTGGGATAGTAGCTAACTTGGTTTCTACTTCAGGTAGCAGATCATGACAGAGAAATGGAGTGAATGAAAGGAAAGGTCATGAGCACATGTGCTCCCTGTCACCTCCCTTCCATTTCCACAGTGGCTCAGTGGAGACATTTATCATCCCCACGGCGGATCTCTGGATTGCTTCTGACTAGTTCCCTGGCTCCATTTTCTCCTACGTTTTAGCTCTCCATACCAAGGGTGGTTTTTCTGCAGTCCTGTTTCAGGAGGAAGGGCACTGGCTTTGACTTCACACACATTCAGTATGAACCCCCGTCTGTCTTTTACTGAAGGCATCTGAGTGAGTGGCTTGACCTCTCAGGGCCTTGTTTATTTGTGACATAGGGATAACAATGCCTATATTGCATAGCTGTAACTGTTAGAAAGAACGTATGCAAATGGTCTTGCATGGGGCTCATTAAATGCGCTTAGTAGTGGCAGTAGTAGTACTCAATTAAAAACAGATACATATACCAAAAACAAAACAATGATTCCTTTTAAAAAAATATTTTATTTTTATTGATATTTTCTAAGAGATAGAGGAGGGGATGCGGGTGGGGGGAATAGGGGAAAGAGAAGAAGAAGAAGAAGAAGAAGAAGAAGAAGAAGAAGAAGAAGAAGAAGAAGAAGAAGAAGGAGGAGGAGGAGGAGGAGGAGGAGGAGGAGGAGAGAGGAGAGAGAGAGAGAGAGAGAGAGAGAGAGAGAGAGAGAGAGAGAGAGAGGGGAACATCGATGTGAGAGTGGAACATCGATTGGCTGCCTCCTGCAGGCCCCCACCAGGGATCGAGCTGAGCCCAGGCATTTGCCCTGACAGAATCGAACTGGCAACCTTTCATTGCACAGGACAATGCCCAACCAACTGAGCCACACTGGCCAGGGCCAGAACAATGCGTCCTTATTCCCCACAGGCTGACGTTCAAATTCCTTAGCTTTCTGTTCTTTCTGGTCATAACCCACCCTTCTACCCTCATTTTTACTTTCTTTCATTTTCTTTTTTAAAATATACTTTTATTTGACTTCAGAGAGGAAGGGATAGGCAGAGAGAGATAGAATCAATAATGATGAGAGAGAATCATTGATCGGTGCTTACTGCACACCCCCCACAGGGGATCGAGCCGAGCCCTGACGGAATCAAACCACGACCTCTTGGTTAACAGGGTGATGCTCAACCACTGAGCCACACCGGCTGGACCCTTTCTTTTTTTAAAATCATTCATTGTTTGCTCTCCACTTGCCATATAGTAAGATCACTCTTTTCTCTCCTACCTTGTGCTAGAGTGCTTTATTTCCTCCTTCCCCCTCCTTCCCCTGTGCCCCCTCCCCACCCAGTGGCATCGTGGTGAGAGCATGGACTCTGCTGTCAGGGAGACCTGACTTTGAACAAATTACATCTACCCCTGGTTGGATGAGTTGGGGGAAATCACTAAACCTCTGTGAGTCTGAGCTGTTACCACTGAAACAACTTCTCATCTATAAAATATGGGTTTAAAGGTATCTGCTCTATAGTTTTTGGAGGTGCCCACAGTGTTCGGCAAATATTAAGTGTTCACCACAGGGGCCTGTTTGTCTCCACATCTGCATGATCCCATCTGCTTCAGTCTTACCTCTCCCCTGCGACCTTGACCGTCCTTAGATAAAGGGAGACCTTGCACCCCTGAAGTTCTGCATCTTACAAGGCCAATGGTGCTCACTTAACATGTATCACTTAGTGCCACTCTTCCATTCTGAATAGTTTCATTTGTAAATGTATGTAAGATCCCGAGGCTGAGAATGAATTTAATAACCAGAGGCAGCATTTCTGAGTGCAGATTCACTGTTCAGTGTGTGTACAGATCCATCTCATCACCCTTTTCA